GTGAGAGGGATTCTGTTGCGAAAGCTTGTCTTCCACCTTTTTCCTGGAAGCCCCATAAACATGTTTACACCCCCCCCCAGATGTTACATCCTCTGAGGAACCGGTATCTATGGTCATGGACCCTAATAAATAGACTTTGGATTAGGCAGCTGAATAAGTACATTCATTGGTTCCCAATGCCAATTTTTCCTCTCCTGCTGCTTTCTGTCCCTTGAACTCACTATTGCACCAAAGTGGAGTTGCCTGTTGGAGAAAGCTACAATATTGACTTCATTGTTAAGCTGCCCAATTAGCTGCCTTAATTGGAGCCATGGGATTCATTTCAAATCCTGAACCCCAAACCTTTAAAGTCTGCAGTCTTTTAAAGGTTCATTTCCTTCAGGTAGGTTGTTATATTGTTTCTTTGTAAAATGCCATATAAATAGGGTGCGCCATTGGACGAGTTGAGCAACCAGCTTAGGGACTGATCTAGATGGAGGAAATCTATTAATATGATTGGTAGGAACTGACGACAACTCGATGGAACATAATGTATTGATTAGTTGCAGTTGGTTATACTAACTAGAAGATTAATGCTGGGAAAGACTGAGGGCAAAAGAAGAAGGGGACGGCAGAGAAGGAGGTGGCTGGATGGAGTCACTGAAGCAGTAGGCGTGAGCTTAAATGGACTCCAGAGGATGATAGAGGACAAGAAGGCCTGGAGGAACGTTGTCCATGCGGTTGCGATGGCATTAGACACGACTTTGCAACTAACAACAACATACTAGAAGAGGTCCAAAATTTCTGTTTTCAAACACCAACTGGACTTTTTAAAATTTTTCTTTAAAACGTTTCACTCCTCATCCAAGAAATTCAATTTAGAACTTCTTCAGAACTAAAGTTCCTTGGAAGAGAAGTGAAACATCTTCAAGAAAAAAAAAAAAGTGCAGTTGCCATTTGGGGGGTGGGAAAAAAAGCACTTTTGGGACAATCATGACCTGGATGACTGAGAATCTCCGTAGATATTCTACAAGATGGTAGTCTGAAGGTTTCCTAGAAAATATAAGTCTTAGTGGGGCTTGTCAATAGTCTCTACTTGAAATTGCCTCCATCAGCATTAGTAGTTGCTTGGAAACGTAACTCCAAGGAAAATAGGAAAGAGCAATTCTAGAAAGAGAATATTTAGATTGCAGAAGTAGTCAATCTACCAATTCTTTTAACTTTGTAGATCTCTGGGGAAACGTTCCACAAGGCATGTGCCCACAGACAAATGTCTCTTGACTCCTATTAGATGCTGCTGCTGTCAGCGTTCCGAGTAACACATCCGCCAAAAGCAGAACTCTGAGGCAGGTAGATTCCGCAAAGAACATGTTTATTGGATACATCATATCAGCACAGCCAGTGAAAACCAACTCTAAAAGTTCCCAGTTTCCCCCCAATTAAAAGAGCAAATATTCCCCCACCCAGATGTCACCAGTCACATTGTCCAATGAAAGTAGCTGGCAGGCTGCCTGGTCACTCCTCTCCTGCTTCAACTGCCCCCTGTTGAGATGACCTTGGTTCCCACAAGAAAACATTTTGTTTTGACTGTTAGCCAGTCTATCTACTTCTGCCACTCTCTTCCCCCTCTCAGAGTTTGTGGCAACTATGAGGCAACAAAAGATGGCTTCAGCCAGATTCACTTCAGAGTTGACATTTGCGTTATAAAGAGACCCAGAATCATATCCCCCCTGTCAGATCCAATAAAATGAGGAGAAATAATTGGGAGATACATGATCCCACAATCATGCAGATTTGTAACATGAAGGGCTTTATGGGTAATAACCAGCATGTAGAATTGCTTTGGTTGTTATTGACTATGAAACTACATTAACCACATAAAGTCCTTTTTGGAGGGGAGGGCTGCCTTCCTTTAGGCGTCACTTTCTCCAAGAAAATTGTAGAAGGTAGGTAAATGATAGTTTATTTTAACAACTTATCTCCGTCCATCCTGCTACTGTGATTCTGAGCAGGTAACAATAATAATAATTTAAAAAACCAGCAGTTTGAAATAATTGAAAACAATTGCAGTATCACCAAGACAGCGTGCATCAAAGACACAAATAAATGTCCTCCATTTTTACACACAAATATATTACAAGCAGTTAACCACCAAGTTTAAAAGTGAGGTCTTTGACATCTTATAGAAGGCAAACAGTTTTGGGGATAAAATGTTCTTCCACAGGGCAGGCACTAACACAAAATAGGCATCTCTCCTGGCTCCTGCAAGATGGCTCTCCTTAATAGAAGCGACCTGGAGCAGGCTCTGCTGGGACAGGAGAAATAGTCCCATCACTAACCTGGCCCTGCGCCATGTAAGATTTTAGATGTGGCCATCAGCATCTTGCCTTGTAACCAGAAGCTTCACCAGGTCACTGAGAACTGAGCAGTGATGTTACATGTTTTCCTCCATAACACTCCAAGGGCAAATGATCAGCCACCTAATCTCTACTTATGGGAGGGCAGAGAGGAGTCTGAGTGATTCCACTCCACCTCTCACACGGGAGGGACCCAGGCATTCAATCCACCTCAGTTGTCTGCAATCCTGACATAGCATCCCAATTCATCCCCTTCCACTGCAATTGTCTTTGGCCAGTCAAGATGCATCAGGGAATAAGAGCCCTTCAGAAACTGGCAGATAATCCCAGTGTGTCATAGGCAGGAAGGCCATTGTCAAGCATGGTTGACCTCATGGCAGCCATAGGACTCAGTTGTTCAGTTCCATTGTCAGCCTAGTTGCAGTCCCCTTCTGGGTCTTCCGTGCCCCTTACCCACCAGCACATCCTGCTTTGCAGAAATCAAATGTATCTCTGGGCAGCTACTAACTGTGATACTGCTACCCCTAGATATTCACACTTTTATTTTTTTTCACATTTTTATTAAGGTTTATGATAGCATAAAATACAATAAAAATAAAGATTAAAGAGAGAAGGGAGTACAGGATAAAAAACAAAAACAAAGAAAAAAGATGTTGACTTCCAACTCTTTCCAACACAGTAAAATACAAACACAATTACAACCTCCAATTTTTACATATACTTCTTATAAGTCAGTTCTATAACTACACAATTATTAAATTAGGTGTGTGTTTCCCCAAAATGGGGAAATAAGGAAAAATCGTAATCGATTGCTTGGTATCGCCAGCAAACCATTGCACCAAAATAACAACACATAAATAACTCCATTACACAATTGCCGCAGTTTTATACTTGGTCCCAAACTAGACTGATGGAGGTAGCCTTTTGTCATTTGCCCTTCCATGGACTCCAAAGGAACAAATTTTTAAAAGAAAATAAGAAACTTTTTTTTTTTGCACCTCCTACTTGGTTTCTCCTCCAACAAGTAAAACAGTAGCTCAGTGGGAGATGAAAAGAACATGCCAGGGGTACAGAGCAGACAGAAGTTAAAAATTTCCAGAAGAAAACAATAGCAAACCACTTCCATTAAGCTGCAAAGAAACTGAATGGTTAGTTCAGTAACATTCCGAGAGCCATTTGGACCCGTTTCCCACAGAAAACACCGGGAGCCACAAAATCTGGGTGAGCGTGGCCAACTCGACGTCACTCACTTCCACCAGTCACATGACTCCCTCTCTGTATCTCGCTATGTCTCTCTCTCCCACTCTCTCTGTATCTCTCTGTCTCTGCCCCAGCCGCTTCTCCATCACCTGCTGTCGTCCTTACCTTTTCAGGCCAGGCGAGGAGTGACTGGGAGGGGAGGGCGAGGGGCAGGCCCAGCCAGTGGTGGGATCACCCAACAGGGACCCACAGCAGAGGGCCCAAAGAGCTTCATGCGGCTCCGGAGCCACAAGTTGCTGATACCTGGGTTAGTTAATAAATCACTGCAGACAGAAGTCAAGTCATTTGAAGTTAAATGATTTTTTAACATTGTTTTTTCTTATTCATCTGGAAATGATGCAATCCTGTATATCTTGTTTCACATTCGTGAGAGGGAGGTTCTTTTTCAAGTACGCAGTCCCCTTATTACTGTGTGTCATGTCCACGTTCGGTCAAGAATGGCCTGAATCTTCAGTCAATACAAGAGACTGTCCCATCTTTTCCTCTACAGAATGTTCCCAACTTCACTAGTTGATGTTCAGATATTATAATGCCCAGCAAACAAGTAATCCTGTTTATTTAGAAGCTGCTCACAGCGAACTAAAATGAATATACCAGTAATAACTGATATGGATATTAATCTAATAGTCTGTATTTCTTCTGGAAGTTGTGCTGCACTGAGGTCTGTAATCTAGCCAATGTACAGAACAAGAAGAATCGGTTCCCTGGATCATAGAGGGAAGCACTTCCGTTTGGTAGAGGTAATTCAAATTGTCTTTTGAATAGAGGGGTGCTTCTGGGGTGCAGGGGTTGGGGCTGCTTGTAAAACCAAAGTCTTGGAGAGGTTTGTAGGATGTGACACCTGAGTTGAATTTCTGGTCTGTTCTCTCTTCTATCTGCACTTCCGGGTAATAGGTGGATTGAGAGTATGACATATTTTCTAATAGTATTCCCAAAGTAGATTGTTTGGGACTGAATTCCTGAGGCTTCTCCAGCATGACTAATTGGTTAGGAATCATATCATTTATTTCTGTTATTCCAAGACTCATCTGCGTGTGAAAAACAACTCAATTAAAAACTGAATTAAAAAGGCACATAAAGAGCAGATAGAATGCAGAGTGGAAAACAGATATTCAAATATCAGAATATACTCTCACCCTCCATTCAAGGATAGAGGTCTGGTCCATTCATAGAGTAATAATAGAATCTTATTTAAAAGAAGATAGAATCTTTTTTTTTTTTTTTTTAAATCAAGGTTGGAGTCATGAGGGAAGAGGAGATATTAGCACATTGGTCAACTGAAAAGATAGATGAAGCCCACAGGCCTTTTTTCTAACTCAGATTGGTGAATTCTTTCCTGATACTTATTATCCCAATACATAACCATCACCATCATTTTTGTAGCTAACGACTACAAATTTACAGTATGAGTCCTGCATATTTATAGAGAATACTATGTTGGAAAATTTTTACCGCCAATTCCAAATCACTTTTCCTGACATGGCTACTGAGGTAATTATCAGAATTACTGAACTGGTCAGTGGGAGGCTGTTGGTGGCAGAAGGCGGTCCCATAGAAGAGATGGACTTTGTATTGCAACAGTGATGCTGTTTTTCCCCTTCCTTGGCTGTCAATACCTATTAGATGTAGTGTAACATCCATGAATCTCAACTCCCACATCCTGGATAGGAATCCAGAAGTTGCATTATCAGCACATCTCGAGGGTACCAGATTGAGAAATGGAGATTAAATGCAATTTCTTAATGATATAACCTTACCTTGAAAAATGGAGTCACTTTAGGTTGGGGTATTGCAGGACACAAACAATTCCTTACACTGGGAAAAAAAAGAGAGAGATGGTGATATTAACTTTTTTCATCATAAAATGGGGGAAACCATTTTTATAAACAAAACTCAGTTTAAACATAGGTACTTAAGACTCAGTTCCCACTTTAAAAAATGTCAAGGGCAACTGAACACTTAAAACTGTCTGTACAATTGCCTAATTTGACAAAGGATGCTTGTCAGAATAGAGCTGGAAGAGACCTTGGAGGTCTTCTAGTCCATCCCCCTTCTCAAGCAGAAGACCCTATACAATTTCAGGCAACTGACTGTTCAGTCTCTTCTTAAAAATTTCCAATGATGAAGCACTCACAACTTCTGGAGGCAAAGCTGTTCCACTGGTCAATTGTTTTATTTGTTAGGAAGTTTCTCCTTAATTCCAGGTTGCTTCTCTCCTTGATAAGTTTCCATCCATTGTTTCTTGTCTTGCCTTCTGGTGCTTTGGAAAATAAGTTGACCCCCCCCCTTTCTTTGTAGCAGCCCCTCAAATACTGGAATACTGTCAGGTCATCCCTAGTCTTTCTTTTCTGTAGACTAGCCATACCCAAATCCTGCAGTCGTTCTTCATGTTTTAGTCTCCAGGCCTTTAATTAGGAATAAGACCTTCTTATTCCAGCAAGCCGGGCTGGCTTAAAATTTTAATGGGTTATTTTATGGGGAAAGGGATTTAAAATTTAGGGAAGCCAAACTGATTTAATTCTGTTTTAATTCTTTTTAATTTTTATACTGTATGTGTTTTAAATTTTGGCTGTTCACCGCCCTGAGTCCTTCGGGAGAAGGGCGGTATACAAATTTAAATAATAAATAAATAAGTAAATAAATAAGTAAATAAATAATCATAGTTGCTCTTCTCTGCATTTTTTGTAAATCTCATCTTTTTTTTGTAATGTGGTGACCAAAACTGGATGCAGTATTCCAGATGTGGTCTTACTAAGAATTTATAAAGTGGTATTAATACAAAATCACGTGTTTTTGATTCTATGCCTCTGTTTAAACACTCAAGGATTGCATTAGCTTTTTTGGCTGCTGCCGCACACTGCTGACTTATATTTAAGTGATTGTCCACTAGAACACCAAGGTCATAGTTCCTATTTTTGAGCCAGGTTTAGCCTAATCTTGTACTTGTATCTCTGGTTTTTCCTGCCTAAGTGTAAAACTTTTTTTCACGTTAAATTTCATGTTGTTGGATAGGTCCTATTGTTCAAGTCTGTCAAGATGTTTTTGGATCCTGAGCTTGTCTTCTGGGACATTGGCTATTCCTGCCAGCTTAGTGTCATCTGCAAATTTGATTATTTCCCCTTCTATCCCCTTATCTAAGTCATTTATTAAGATATTGAAGAGTAGTGGGCCTAAGACGGAACCTTGTTATACCCACTGCTTTCTTCCCTCCATATAGTAGATGTAGTACCATTAAGGACTAATTGTTGAGTATGGTTTGTCAGCCAGTTACAAAGCCATTTGGTGGTGATGCTGTCTGTCTGACATTTTTCTAGCTTACCAAGAAGTAGGTTTTAGCAGTGGTGAAATGTAAAATTTGTTACTACCAGTTCTGTGGGTGTGGCTTGGTGGTGGGTAATATGACTGAGTGGGTGTGGCCAACTTTTTTTCCCTTTTTAAAACCATTTTTTCTACAACCTCTTTGACTGAAGAGGTTGTAAAAAAAATGCTCTTAAAGCCTTTGACGATCCCAGCTGACTTGCCTGATTGGCAGAAGCTTTTTTTTTTTTAAGCCTCTGACGATCCCAGCTGACTTGCCTGATCGGCAGAAGCTTTTTTTTCTTTTAAAAACATTTTTTCTATAACCTCTTCGGCCGAAGAGGTTGTGGAAAAAATGCTTTTAAAAGCCTCTGATGATCCCAGCTGAGCCGCACGATAATCAGAGGCTTTTTTTTTTACTTTAAAAATCATTTTTTCGGCCAAAGAGGTTGTAGAAAAAATGCTTTTAAAAATAAAAAAAAGCCTCTGATGATTGCACGGCTCATGGGGGGTGGGGGGACGATCCGGTCCGAACCGGGAGCATTTCACCCCTGGGTTTTAGTCTACTTTGTCAAAAGCCTTACTGAAATCTAAGCATATTATGTCCATAGCATTTTGCTGTGGTTTACTAATTTAGTCACTGTCAAATAATGAATTAAGATTGGTTTGGCATGATCTGTTTTTACAAACCTATGCTGCCTTCTAGTTGTAACTTTATTTGCTTCTAGAAGTTCACAAATCTATTTTTTAAAATAACTTTTCCAGTATCTTCCCAAGTATTGATGTTAGGCTGATTTAGTCTCTAGTTTCTTGAATCTGGATTTCACACCCCCTCTTTTTTTTTTTTTTTTAAGATGAGAACCACAATAGCTGTTTTCCAATCCTCAGGTAGTTTCCCGGTACGCCAGGATTTTTGAAAGAAATGGTACAATGATTCTGAGATAACACTTGCCAGCTCCTTTAGAACTTTGGAATGTAATCCATCAGGTCCCAGTGATTTATATTCATCAAGATCAGAGAGATGTTCTCTTATCATTTTCTTGCTTATTTTAATTTTTATTTCTAATCTGTCTTTTATGGTTAGATTTTTGATAGGTTGGGCTATAGTTTCTTTTTGCATGAAGACTGATGCAAAAAACGAGTTAAGTAACTCTGCTTTCTCTCTACTTGCTTGTTATGTTTATGTCTGCTACGTGTTAATCTATTACAGTTATATTTTGGTTGCTGTGCACTTACCGACTACTTTTCCTGGAACACATACACATCAGTATTAATGGGATAATCAGTAGTAGATAAAGTAGATTGAAAAGCCATTTTTCTGTTGGAAAGAAAATCAGGTACACTTCTATTTAAATGTTTAATTGTAATTCTTCAACACAATAAGACAGATTTCTTAGGCTAAGCTTAGAGAAAAAAAGATTTTTCAATTAATTTTCAGGAAAATAGAAACATAACATTAGTAACCATTTCTTTTTTTTTTTAGTAAAAAGTTTTTTTTAATACACAAACACATAAGCAATGTATTTTTTTTTTCTGAACAGAGTATTGGCCGGTTCATAAATTTAAACAATTTTTCAATACAATTTATATATTCCCTTTTGCCATAATATCTTCCCTTCTTCTCCCTTTTATTCCTTTTCTTTTGAACCCATATTGCCCATTCATCCTAGCTCTAATCTTCACCAAATTCTATTTTTCCCTTCATCTCTATCTGAAACCCCTTAAATTTAAAATCTCATTTGACATATTCCCTAATGTTACAATCGTTCATTTAATATCAAAATAATAATCACTTGTATGACAGGTTTCCCCCCCCCCTCTTTATATACTGACAGTAAACCAAATTGCTTCCTTAGATTTTGTCTCTTATTTTCAAATATTTTATCAAAAATACATATTTCAAACCTCTTAATCATTTCTACTAAAATAATAAGGCAAAAAACATTTTATACCATACATTTTCTTAGATCTTATTCCAAATAATACACTTCAACTTCTTAATAAAAATCAATTACTCATATAACAGTTTCCCTCCCTTTTTTATATAATATTAAATATCTCCAGATAGCATGCTTGTTTTCATAGCTTGGCAAATCTTAACTCTCTAATCTCTGGCTGAAGTCAAGGCAAAAATACATAGTTTTGATTCACTCTCACTCAGCTTCATGAAGACTGCACTACCCACATAACAGAGCCACAGTTGGTGCTACTTATTTTTCGGGAAGTCTCCAGGTAGAAGCAATGGCAAGGAACACTTTGGTACATGACATCCAATAAGCTCCTAGCACAGTGATGGTTAACCTTTTTGCCGTCATGTGCCAAAAGTGGGGGAAGTGCAGGGGGGTCGCACGTGTGTATGCCCACACCCATAATTCAATGTCCCCTACGCCATGCCCCCCCCTGTGCATGTGCGCGCGACCCTCCCCTTCGTGCTTCCCCCGCTTTTGGCACATGATGGCAAAAAGGTTACCTGTGGGCCTGGTAGGCCCGTTTTTTGCCCTCCCCAGGCTCCAGAGGCTTTTTTGGAGACTGGGGAGGGCGAAAAGAGCCTTCCCCACCCCTCTGGAGGCCCTCTGGAGGCTGGAAACAGCCTATTTCCCGACTTCCAGTGGGCCCGGAAGGCCCAAAACTCAGCTGGCCAGTGCGCACATACACTCTGGAGCTGACCTAGGACAACGCTCACGTGCCCACAGATATGGCTCCGCGTGCCACCTGTGGCACACGTGCCATAGGTTCGCCATCACGGTCCTAGCATTCCAGAGACAGTTGAATTTGTCAGTGGTTATAGGTAGTCCTTGACTTATGACCACAATTGAGCCTGAAATGTATGTTGCTAAGCGAAACCATTGTTAACAGCTTGACCAATTTTGCAACCTTTCTTGCCACAAATAAATGAATCACTACAGTTGTTAAGTTAGTAACACAGTTATTAAGTGAATCTGGCTTCCCCCTTGACTTTGCAAATCAGAAGGTGGCAAAAAGGTGATCACATGACCCTGGGACACTACAGCCATCATAAATATGAACCAGATGCCAACCATCCAACTTTTGATCATGTGACACTGCTGCAACGTTTATGTGAAAAACAGTCGTAAGTCACTTTTTTCAGTGCCATTGTAACTTCAAACAGTCACTAAATGAACTACCGTAAATCGAGGACCACCTGCACGGAAGCCTTGGGTTACATCACGGTTAGATATATCTCAGATGTAACCGGTATGGCCATCCTTGAAGAGTCAGAAAACTTTGATTGGTGAATAATGAAAATATATTTCATTTATATTGAATTGCTTCAGCAAATGGGTGCAAGGTGACCCCTGTATTAAAATTGCATTAAAAAGAAAATCAATTGAAAATGTCTTAAAATAATAGCAAACTTTTCACGACTAAAATACCCTGAAATAATAATGCAAGCTTATCCATACATTTTAGAATGTAGAATTCAAGGTTTTAAACTTTTAATCTCAATTTAGGGTCTATCTCAGAAACTGCTTTATTGGTGCAAAGCTTTCTGGGTATTAAGTCTGATGGAATGACTTCTTAAAAATTCATGCTAGCTCAGGCTTCTGCTTATTCTACAAAACTTCCACAAAAGGTGCACTAATACTCACGATATTTTATTAAAAAAAGGAATTAGACCCTACCTTTGCAACTAGGGTTTTTGGCCAGGTTTAATATTACTTACTTTAATTGGTTAATTTTTAGACTATTAGCCATCTCCTACATGCTATAGATGGGGAGGGGCACAATGGCTCAGTGATTAAAGGCGCAGAGCTTGCTGACAGCCCAAGTTCGAGACCCATATGCTATGAGATGGGAGTGAGCTCCTGTCCTTGCCCCACCTCACTGAGCAATTCAAAAGTATGCAAATATGAGTAGATAAATAGGTACCACTTTGTGGGAAGGTAACAACATTCCATGCGCGTTGGCATATAGTCATGCTGGCCACGTGACCAGCAAATGTCTGGTCTTTGGACACTGATGGCTCCTTCAGCTAAGAAATGGAAATGAGCACCGCCCCAAAAGTCAGACACAGTTGGGCAGGGGAAACCTTTATCTTTACTTGCTATATGTAGGATTTAGAATAGAATAGAGTTGGAAGGGACCTTCAAGGTCTTCTACTCCAGCTCCCTGCTCAAGCAGGAGAACCTATACAATCTCAGACAAGTGACTGTCCAGTCTCTTCTTAAAAACGTCCAGTGATGGAGCACCCATGATTTCTGAAAGCAAGCTGTTCCATTGGTTAATTGTCCTTACTGTTAGGAAGTTTACTCCTACCCTCAAAACGACACTATAGAGCATTGCACACCAGAACAACTAGACACAAGAATAGTTTTTTCCCAAACGCCATCACTCTGCTAAACAAATAATTCCCTCAACACTGTCAAATATTTATTAAGGCTGCACTACTATTAATCTTCTCATTGTTCCTATCACCCATCTCCTCTCACTTATGACTGTATAACTGTAACCTTGTTGCTGGTATCCTTAAGATTTATATTGACTGTTTCCTAATATGATTTGATTGCTTATTTGTACCCTATGACTATCATTAAGTGTTGTACCTTATGATTCTTGACGAATGTATCTTTTCTTTTATGTACACCGAGAGCGTATGCACCAAGACAAATTCCTTGTGTGTCCAATCACACTTGGCCAATAAAGAATTCTATTCTATTCTATTCTATTCTATTCTATTCTATTCTATTCTATTCTATTCTATTCTATTCTATTCTATCCTATCCTATCCTATCCTATCCTATCCTATCCTATCCTATCCTATCCTATCCTATCCTATCCCGGTTGCTTCTCTCTTTGATCAGTTTCCAACCATTATTTCTTGTCCCTGCTCTCTGGTGCTTTGGAGAATAATTTGACCCCCCCCTTTCTTTGTGGCAGCCCCTCAAATACTAAAATACTGCTATCATGTCACCCCTAATTCTTCTTTTCTTTAGACTAGCCAGACCCAAAATCTGCAGCCGTTCTTCATATGGTTTAGTCTCCAGGCCTTTGATCATCTTATTCGCTCTTCTCTGAACTTATTCCTAAGTCTCAACATCTTCTTTTGTAGTATGGTGATACTACAACTAAAATTGGTTGCAGTATTCCAGGTGTGGTCTTACTAGGGTTTTGTAAAGCGGCATTAATACTTCACGTGAGCTTGATTCTATGCCTCTGTTTATACAACGCAGGATTGTATTAGCTTTTTTGGCTGCTGCTGCACGTAGAAATGTGTAGGAATGCAAATTATTATAGTCAAAATAAATAAAAGACATGGCTCCAAACACACAACCTGCCAAAATTCAAAAGAAGTTCCATGTTTGTACCCATAGTAAATAAATACAAATGAGCAGGACTTACCATCATCTGGTGTAATCACTGACTTAAAGATGACATTGTCAGTATAATTAGGATTGACAGCATAAGCCTGAAGTGCAAAGAAGTACTTTCTATTGGGTTTCAAATGTCTCACTGTGAATTCAGTCTGGTTTGGTTTTTCAATTTTGTAACTGCATATTGTCAGATTACCTGCATTCAAGAAGAAAGTTTAGGCCACAAACAAAAGCCTCACTTGCTCTCTGCAAATATTAATTTTATTGTAAAACGAAAGGCTCTTATGCAGTGGTGGGATTCAGCCAATTCACACCACTTCAGGAGAACCGGTTGTTAACTTTCTGAGCAGTTTGGCAAACTGGTTGTTGGAAGAAATCATTAAGGCAGAGAACCGGTTGTTAAATTACTTGAATCCTACCACTGCTCTTATGACATCCTAGCATCACCTTCACTGCTACTTTACAATCACTCTTAAAAACCTATTCCTGCTTTTCATAATCAAGCATCATCAAGGATTTTTCAATGTTGTTCTCTTTTTATGTAGGTTCATAACATTCATTATTTGACGACCGAAGCCTCAAATGCGGCTTTAATAGTCACAACATGAATATGACTTGATTGGCATGGGTAAGCTGCTGACAAGGAATGGCCTGCAATCAGTCCTTGCTGCCACAGGATTAATCCTACTCACTCTGCGTTAAGGGAAGCAGGAGGGGGCCGTTAGTGCAGAGGAAAGCAGTCCTTGGAACTGTCTTAAGCCATGGCTCCTGGTCTCAAGCCGCAGCCCATGTGCAGTTATGGATAACACATAACTCAATCTTGCATTCAGTTATCCCACATTGAGTTGTCCCAATGCGAGATGTCCACATAGAGTTGGCCGTGCCAAGGTGGCCGCGGTGAGTTGTCTCACAGTGAGTTGGCTGTGGCAAGTGGGCCACAGTGAGTGGGCCTAGACCAGGGGTGTCAAACTCGATCGTGACTTTTTTGCTTTTGCGGAGCCAGGATGGGCGTTAGCCTGTGCGGGCCATATTCAGCCCGCATGCCACTAGTTTGACAGGCCTGGCCTAGATCCTCAGGCAAGCCATAATGTGAACTTCCAAGGAATATGACCGACTGATCAATCTAGGGAAGGAGTCTGCAACCTTAAATACTCAAAGAGCCATTTGGACCCGTTTCCCACAGAAAAGAAAACACCGGGAGCCACAAAACCTGGGCGGGGGTGGCCAACTCCATGTCACTCACTTCCACCAGTCACATAACCCCCTAGCCATGCCTACCCAGCCGGACATTAGGGCAGAGAACCAGTTGTTAAAAAATACCGGGAACCACAAAATCCTTTTGACATATCTCTGTCTCCCCTCCCTCCCTCCCTCTCTCTCTGTATCTCTCTATGTCTTTCTCTCTCCCCCTCTCTCTGTATCTCGCTGTCTCTGCCCTGGCTGCTTCTCCATCCCCCGCCGTCACCATTACCTTCTCAGGCCAGGCGAGGAGTGACTGGGAGGGGAAGGCGAGGCCAGCCAGTGGTGGGATCACCTGACAGGGAGACACAGCAGAGGGCCCAAAGAGCCGCATGCGGCTCCGAAGCCGCAGGATGCTGACTCCTCGTCTAGGGAGAGTTTCCTTTAGCTGAAGCTTCTTCAGCTAATAGCAAGGGAACTGTGTTCCCTTTGTTTTTATGATTTCCCTGTGTTAGAGAGAATCCTAGAATCACCTCACAAGATCGCCATACAGTCTGCAAGTAGATTCAGGAGCTGTGCTTCGGAGTAGCTGGTGAACTATTCAGCCGGAGGGGGGGGGGGCGGGGGAGACTAATCACTTTGTTGAAAAAGCAGCTGTTTTTTCAAATAGACAGTAAGTCATGCCTTTCATTTCTTAATCACTTTGCGGGATTATTATGTTTACTAATTAAAATAGTTTTTTTTTTAGCTACAGGCTGTTACTCCTTTTTGAAGATCTGCATCATTTTTTGAAACTTTTTTTTATTCTTAAGGAAGAATAAGGAAGAAGGTTGCTGAAAGCAAGCTAAAATAAGGAGGAATGGAGTACCTTTGATGGTGAAATATAAGGACAGAAAGATGTGGCTCTATTTTATTACTTTTAAGTAATTTATTGCTTTGGATTGTTTTGTTGGCTGAAGCTTTCTGATTTTTATGAATTCTCAATGGCTAGGAAGCATTAACTGATTTATTTAAAAAATAACCTACTCCTTGACCACAAGAGGGAGCTAAAGTGGAGACAGATGGATTTTTGTCCTTTTGCAAAAGAGTGGCTTGAAAAATATTTAAATAAAACCAGAGATGGTTAAATTGATTGTTTATCCAAAGAAGAGAATGTATCTAATTATATTTCTGTTTGGAAGCCGCTTCTGGATTTACTGCTTGTGATCGAGGGGAAAATGAAACTTTGATGTTGGTTTTTCAGATTAGATAGGTTTGTTGTTATAGAAATGGAACAGTGTATATAACTGTGCAAAAATGAACAGTTGAGGCTGTAATGTTGTTATCTTCTCCTGTGCTAAAAAGAGTCGGAAGTCAGTGCCTTTTCTTTCCTTTTCCCTTTTTACCCTACACTCTCTCTTCTTCCTCTGTTCTTCCCACTAGTTTCCCATTATTTTTATTCTCCTTTGTATTTTATATTCTGATAAAATACAAAAAATTGTAAACTGGTAAAAATAATATGTTCATTTTCAGTCTAATAGTATGGACCAACCATTCACTTGTTCAACAATTGCTTTTAAAACTGGTTTAGCAAATGTGTGGACTGGCACATGGCCAACCTCCCACTGTAGCCTAACCTTGCTAACATTAATAGTAGAAGTTAAACAATGCAACTGGTTAAATGCATAACAACAATTTTAATTTTAAAAAGAAATGTAATGTTGAAAATAAAGAAAAGTCTATCAATCAGCCAATTCTCTTGAAGAGAAAAACCAACCTTCATAAGATGGAGACATTCAGAAAAAAACCAAGTGCAGATCAAAATATACTTGGAATTTTTCGTCCATTGCAACTCTCTAAAGTAGTATTTCTCAACCTTTGCAACTTTAAGAGATATGGATTTCAATTCCCATCATCCTCTAGCCGGACGTCCATACAACTTAAAGTTGCTGAGGTTGAGAAACACTGATTTAGAACTTGAGCTACTATTAGAAATTTTCAACTTTGTTTTTCCTCCTGGATTACCTTCATTTATTTATGAAAAAAAACATGATTTATGAACTACCATATTTTTTGGACAATAAGACGCACCTGACTATAACACTATAAGAAGAGGAAAACAAACAAAAAAAGTTTTTGGCTTCCATGTGCCCCATTTTCGGGCCTTTTTGGGGCCCTTTTCCAGTCTTTTTTCGGCCTGTTTTCAGGCCCATTTTCAAGGCTTTTTTCTGCCCATTTTTGAGGCTTTTTTTGGCCCATTTGTTTGGAAAAAAACGAGCCAAAAAAAGCCAAAGAAACGCCTGAAAAAGGTCAAAAGGCCCCAAAATGAGACATGCAGAGGCCAAAAAATTGCCGGTGGGTGGGCGTGGCTTCAGCAATATTCGGTCTATAAGACGTACAGACATTTTTGGAAGACAAAAAAGTGTGTCTTATAGTCCAAAAAATATTGTATGTTTCATCTTCTTTTGTACTTAGAAAGACTGTCTACCAACTCCTAACTAAAGCTCACATTTCACTTAAGATATATTAGTCTGGAGAAAGAGGATCACTTACCTGGACGTATTAATGGTTGGGATCCTTGTACTGAACAGCTTTGATTATCCATCTTCATGTAAAGCATGTAACCTCTAATAAAACCAGAGCTGAATTTTTGATCGTATCGTTCCCAAGTGACTCTTAATGAATTTGCAGTGATTTCCTCTATATTACATGAGAGGTAGTCTGGTGGTTCTGGAAAACAGAACATTGACAACTTTTACTATCTATTTGCTATAGGTTTAATCCTTATATCTTTACATTATGATTAAATTTCCATTTGTGTTCAGTACAAAACTCCATTCTGAGAACTGACCATCACAAATCTTGAAAATAAAAATGGAACTAAACTAACCTAGTTGATTAAGGTCTGTTGACCAGACTTTCGTTACTCATTTACATGACTAATGATCATGTAAATGAGAGATCTGTTAGTTTACAAACACCCGGAACAGGAAATTGTCTGGGGTGGATGGTAGAGACAGATAATCCTGGATCAACCAAACTCCAAACAATAGGGATTAACATAGTGTTGTTTAATACAAGAAAAGGCATAGTTAGCACCCCACTGCCATCCATGATACAACTCCTTTAAAAATCCAAGCAGCATCCTGGCATTTTACAGCCAGCTAGTCCACTGATAAGAAGAGGAACAATAAGACTTTTATCTTACTCCTACCACCTGGTGTAGATGGGCAGATAGAACCACTGTAAACATTTACAATAGACAGTCAAGATCAACCCTGAAATGTATCTTTAAGAATGGTGCACATCTGGCTTTCCTTATGCAAAAAAATAATCTGGGCTGATACTGTGAATAAAGACCTAAAGAACGGTTCAATCGTATTTCCTTTTTAAGAATCTGTGAATAAATCCTGTGTTTGCTGAAGCTCAAGAACTGGGAAGCAAACAAGAATTCCCACAGGGGAAACACATTACCCACAGCTCTTCAGTGTTCCATTTTTGCAATCAGACAAGTTACAGAATAAATCAAATTGCTGCTGAACACAGATCACAGCACAACAAAACTGATGTGTATAGCAAATTCTGCACTGACATAGAGGCTGTTTGCTATACATGTGCATAACAAATTGCAGTCATAGTCCAATTTAACATATACAATTTTAGCACAACTTACCCATTTCTTCAAGATATTTAGCCTTCTTTTCCAATAAATAACTTCTATCGTCTTGTATTCCATACACATTAAAAGTGTATCTTACCCCACGTTTGAAGGCATCTAAAATACATTTCAAGAAATATACCGCAAAGAACAAAGAGTTAGGAATATAAAACGATTACAAGTGGAAGCTAGTGATGATGTTTGGGAAAGTTGGGAAATATTGACGTGTTAAGAACTGTATGGAGCCTTTGATTTAATTTTTCTTTTCAAGTGTCATGGGCTTTACCACAAATGTATTTGTCATGAGATGAAAAACTAGCACAAAATGGCTGCCGGTGTGGTTAAGTAAAAAGCTGGAGAGTGAGAGAGTAAATTCACACTGAAAAAGTAAAACACTATACCTCTGTTAACCTTGTGGGAGTCTCCATTTAAATGCTGTGTGGAAAAAGAACCTATATGCCCATAATGTAGTCCTGAGGGAACAGTCTACCTTCCACTAAGGAGCTTTTTGGCAACAGCCCTTCCTGAGGAAATGAATATGATACAATAGACCACTGTCCCGCCATCCAGTTTTCAAAGGACAACTTCTCCCCCTCTTCCTCATTTGAGACACTAATTTGTGACTTGTGTGTCAGAACATCCAAGCTGAAGGAAGTAGCAATATCCTTGTACATTTCACAATTAAGCTTTTTTTAAAAACTTTGTGCATTTTATATTTTTAGTTATTAACATTAATTTTGTATTGCAACTTCTTATGCTGGCCTGTGACCATAATAGAGATTTGATGGATTGATTGGTACCCTTTCAAATATTACATTAGTTTCATGAAATGGGTCAATCCTGGCTGATTCTTGGGTAGGAAAACCTCACTGTAACTGAGAAGTTACAGAAGTTTCTTAATCAAGAAAAAAACAATGGCTAATCGTTTCTATATTGCAGCCAAGGAAGCTATACAGATCTGTCCATAAAATCACTCAAGAAGAATTCATTGTTACAGTAGCTTTAACAACCAGACAACAATGATTTCCTCTGGAATTATTCACTAATGAACTTAAACTTTTCTCACCAGATGTAATGAGATCACTGGACTTGATTTGCCCATACTTCTTCCACTGAAAATCACACAAGGGACCTATGGGCTGGTTGCACCAGTCAACAATATACTGACTGAACTTGCTTTGACGCTTCCAAGAAATATAAATTTTATGTTCTTCATTGTTGTCTGTGGTCTCTTCACTATAATGCACTTTACCTTAAAAAATACAACAATTGTGAGGCATCAGTATCAAAATCTTTAAATGGTGTTCATAATATTTATCTTTCTTTCACACAGCTTTTTGAAGAGAGCTATACAAAAAATGCAAATGTTCTGTTGATCCTCCAACAATATTTGTCAACCTTTGGTGAACATGCATTCTCATTTACCATGAAATCCAGCAATGTTATGGGGACATTCCAGATAAAAATGTCTTCCTGGCATATTTGAACTGTAATCATGTGTAACTAAGAACAAACCCTAGATATACATGTAATAAATAAAACAGTAAAATCGGTTGTTTTGTTTTCTGCTGGCAGAGAAAAGACTTACATTTCACGATGTGCCTGTTTGTTTTAAGAATTCAATCAAACAAACCACACTGTAACTCTCAGTGTTTTTTCATTCTGCTGAATCTGAGTGAAAAGCCCATCCCCATTTACATGAAAGTATATCCTATGGAATTAAATGGGATTTTTTTTTAATAAGATTATATTGTCAACTCTGTAGCAGACCCTGGAACTTCTCTGGGTTTGTGGAAAATGAAATGAACAATACAGAGTTTTAAAAGAAAACTTATGTGTACAAATGTTTTAAATGCATGATATAACCAGTGAGCAAATTGCTAAACATTTTACACAGCAATTATCAACATCATCATCATTTAATGACCCCATAATCCCTCGCGGGATGGAGTCTGGGAAACTGAATGGTGCTAGCAGAATGTTTTAATGGCCGGATGCCTTTCCTGCCGCCAATGCAGAGTTTTGTTCAGCAGATATATTCTCAGTATGCCCAGAGAGAGAAATATCTGCCTCAACCTAGGATCGAACTCACAGCCTCCTGATTGTGAGGCGAGAGTTCCACCTCTAGGCCACCGCATCAGCCAAACATTTTACACTGCAATGCAGTGGATTAAAAAAAAATGTCATGTCCAAGGAGCAGCAGAGTATAAACTGACATATAAAGGCTGAAATCCCAAACATTCAGTCAAACCAAAGGTCATAAGTTTGATAAGAAAGCCAGTTTGGTCTAATGGCTAAGGTACCAGGCTCGAAAACAGAAGACTATGAGTTCAAGTCCAGTTTTTGCCATGAAAGCCAACTGGGTGACCTTGGGCCAGCCACTTTCTCTTCAGCCTAACTCACCTCAGAGCAGGAGTGAAATCCAGCAGGTTCTGGAGAACCGGTAGTGGAAATTTTGAGTAGTTCGGAGAACCGGTAGCGGAAATTTTAAATAGTCCTAGTTTGGGTGGGAATGGAGATTTTGCAATATCCTTCCCCTAGGAGTGGGGTGGGAATGGAGATTTTGCAGTATCCTTCCCCTGCCACGCCCACCAAGCCACACCACCCCCATCAAGCCATGTCCACAGAACCGGTAGTAAAAAAATTTGGATTTCACCACTGCATCAGAGGGTTGTTATGGGGAAAATAAGAGGAAGAAGGAACATTAGATATATTTGTCGCCTTGAGTTGTTTAGAAAAATAATAAATTAAATAAATAAATGAGTAATTAATACAATGGGAGGAGAATCTTACTATGTAATCATGGAAATCAACAAGAAAACCTCTCTGGGGTTGTGATATTTCACATTGCTTTCTAGTTCAGGAAAGGAGGATTCAGTGGAGTAACATGTTTAAATGAACACACCATTTTTATCAGATGCTGGGATGATGATCACAGAGGGAGAGGATGTAGATATACTGTTCTGTGCCCAAACAAGGATTTTGTATGAACGGTTGCCAAGAGAAATTTTTCTGTAGTTCTGTGATGCAGAAACTGAGTCATTGTGACGCTGCATTGAAGGGTCCTCTAAATTTTCCCAGGACAGATGATATTTTTGGATCTTTCCATTAGCACGAAAATCTGAGGATTCCTATGGGCAGGAAACCAAAATTCTCTCAAAAAACATTTCTCATCAATGCACCTTTCTAGAATAGTTTCAAATTGTTTTTCATTATAGACGTTATCAGTTTTCTCACTTTATGGGCAATAGCATACAACATAAAGCTACATCTCTTCTACAGTGGCTTATAGAATATAGACATCCTTGTATCAGGGGTGAAATCCAGCAGGTTCTGACAGGTTCTGGAGAACCGGTAGCAGAAATTTTGAGCAGTTTGGAAAACCAGTAGCGGAAATTTTGAGTAGTTTGGCGAACTGGCAAATACCACCTCTGGCTGGCCCCAGAGTGGGGTAGGAATGGAGATTTTGCAATATCCTTCCCCTGGAGTGGGGTAGGAATGGAGATTTTGCAGTATCCTTCCCCTGCCATGCCCACCAAGCCACACCACACCCACCAAGCCACGCCCACTGAACCGGTAGTAAAAAAAATTGGATTTCACCACTGCTTTGTATTCAAGACTTGGATCTACGAAGAGAGCAGAATTTCATGCTATTCTTTCATGCACCTTGAATGAACTCTTATTTACTCTATTTATTGTGTGCGGATAATAGAGTAAGCTATGCGGTACGTCAAGCAAGTAGGTAAACTATACATGATTCTGTTGGACACTTTCATGACAGAGGAAACTGTTTTCTCATTCTCTTATATTCTTTTAATAGAAAAGACTTAAACACCCTCAGAAGTTGGCCTTAATGTGAGGGATCAATCCATTAACAATGAAAATGTTGTACTTCCATTTTGCAAAATCTATCACACAGTAATTTACTCTAGAAAAAAAAATCTCACAACCAAAGAAATGTCATTCAAGTTTGTTGTACGATGTCCCATATAATTCTACTTTACAAATATTATTGCTGCCTCATATTTATTTTTGTGAAAAGCAGAATATCTTCTTATAATTTTACCATCCTGTATGTACTTTTCTATGACTTTATCATTACTACGGAATGTTTCCTGTAAGATACCAAGGTTGATGGACATTCTTTGTCTTTCTAAAAAGCATTGTATAGAAGATCATAAATGACCAAATCCAAGATGGATGGAGGAAGTCAATATTTATGGACCATCTGTTGTCCATTTTTAGTCTATTATCTTATTGATTGCTTGTTTCTTACAATTCTTGTTATCCTTCTGTACTTAGCATAGGAAATAGTGTGATGAGTATTCATTTATATACATTTCTATATGTCCTATCAGTTGTATATATATATGGCCAGACTTACCCTCCAGAATACAGTTACATTACGTTGCTTCAAGCCTGAGTTAATATGTCTCCAGACATCAAGCAATCCTGATGGAGCTGAAAATAAAAGCATATAAAACAGGATGGAAGTAGGCTTGATGAACAAATGGAAAGAGTATAATTATATAAATACACTGTTATATTAATAGGATTGTCTACACTTTCACAAGTCACAAACACCTGCAGGATGGACACTTGCATTCTTTGATAGTGCTTACAAAATTTTCATCCCGATAACCATTTTTTTCTTACTTTAATTGTCTTTGAAAAAGAGCTGATGGCTATTCTTGAAATAAGAATAAGATAAAGGTAAAGGTTCCCCCACACATGCGTGCTAGTTGTTTCCGGCTCTAGGGGGTGATGCTCATCTCCATTTCAAAGCCAAAAAGCCAGTGCTGTCCGAAGACGTCTCTGTGGTCATGTGGCCAGCATGACTAAACAGAACGCTGTTACCTTCCCACCAAAGGTGGTCCCTATTTTTCTACTTGCATTTTTCCGTGCTTTCGAACTGCTATGTTGGCAGAAGCTGGGACAAGTAATGGGAGCTCACTCCATTATGCTGTGCTAGGGATTCGAACTGCTGAACTGCCGACCTTCTGATCGACAAGTTCAGCGTCTTAACCACTGAGCCACCGCGTCCCTAGTGTAAATAAGAATAAAGAATATAAATTCACAATACAGTATTAATACTGTAAATATCCAATTGAGCGCAGGTAACAACAGAACCTCTCATTTGTGAGTAGAAAAGTGACTTTTATTTACATTCTAGGATCAGTTATCTATTCACAAAGAGAAAAAAAGATCACATTCTCAGACAATACAGGACCATCCTTCACCTATTCCCCAAAAAAGGAGGATTAACCAAAAAGAGATTTATATTAAAATAAAGTTTTGAAAACTGAATAACAATAACCGCTGAGCAAAATGTGCCACCCTTCTAGAGATTCCCCTCCATTCAATTGTGCTGATTTTTGGCTCTAAAAGTCCGTGCAGTTTTCTTGGCTAGGATTTTCAGAAGTGGTTTGCCATTGCCTCCGTCCTAGAGCTGAGAGTGACTGACTGGCCTAAGTCATTCAGCTGGCTTTGTGCCTAAGGCAGGACTAGAACTCAGTCTCCTGGTTTCTAGCCTGATGCCTTAAGCACTAAACCAGGGGTCAGCAACCCACGTCTCTGGAGCCGAGTCTCTGCTGTGGCTCTGTCACCGGTCGGCTCCACAAGTGATAGGGCTTTTGGTTAGGACAGGTAGAGGAAAAAGGATGCTGCGTTAGGAGGAGACTCTATGGTGGGGGAACCGGACTTCCGGTTGGCTCCAGAATGGGGGGGGGGGGCACCTTCCGGTTAGGTTTGTAGCTCTTTGAGTGTTTAAGGTTGCCGGCCCCTGCACTAAACCAAACTGACTTTCTTCTGGAGATTCCAGGAGATAAATAAACAAGTAAAAGAGGCGTAATGAGGTCAGGCACCAGGCTGGGTAAAGTGGATCACACACTAAGCTCAATTTTCCCACCAGACAGTGACTTATATATTCTTGCACTGGAGTGTTATTATATCTCTTTCATTAACATAGAAGGCAGAGCATTAAATCTAGCAACCAGAAGGTTCTCCAATGAGACAACTCTGAGATATTATTTAAGTATCTAATCTGGAAGTTTGTGGGAAGTCACTAGATATATCTGTAACTAATTTACTAAAAGCTCTTAAGATTCTTCAGGACAAAATAAAAGTCCCTCTAACTTCACTCTTGCCAGGCTAATTTATATGTGATTGAATTTCTGGAAGATTATAGGGTTGCTCTTATGATAGCTCTAATTCTGAAAATACTGCCGCTTATTTTTTTTGGGAGATAATTAGGCTAAGAACATAATAATATAAGCAAGGTTCTGGCAGATCAGATCCCTGGTTCATTTAGTCCAGCAATCTCTTGTCAAAGCTGCCAGGGTTGAGTAACATTGAGTTATTCATCTATGTATAGGAGCTGCAGAAATACCTTGCATAAAATCTGATCATTGCTTATCAGGGAAGTTTATGTCAGTAATAATTTTAAATGTGCAAGGCATTTGTGTTTGTAACATGCAGATTTGATAAGCGGATGCTTGAGGAAGAAATATCAGATACAGAAGGATAGTTTTTAATATAGTCTGTAGTCCTGTAGTCCTCGACTTACAACTGTCCTTTAATAATAGTTATGATGGCCATAGGAAAAAAAAATGATTTCATGACGCATCCTCAAAGTTATGACCATCACACCTACCCTCCGGTCACGTATTCACAATTTGAATGCTTGGCAACCAGCTCGCATTTACAACAGTTGAAATTTCCTGCAGCCACATGATCACAATTTGCAACTTTCCCAGCTGGCTTCCAAGAAGCAAAGTCAACTGGGGAAGCTGGATTCATTTAAGGACCACGTGATTCACTTAACAATGTCATCTGCTTAATGACTATGGTAAAATGGTCATAAAATCGGGCCCAGTCATGTGATGATTTGCTTAGTGACCACATTGCTTAGCAACCAAAATTCCATCGCAATTGTGGTCTTAATTCAAGGACTTCCTGTATAGGCTTGATTGGGTAGCCAGTGTCTAGAATTACTGAATTTATGTAGTCCAGCTTGAGGTTCTCCAGAACAAAGACACGACTGTCATCACCTGCTTACTAAGTTAATTGGCTATGGAATAGTTGAAGTTAATTTCAATAAAAACATTAATTCTTTAAAAAAAACACTCCCCCACTCAGATTTGTAATATTTGGCAAGATTACATATCCAAATGTAACTGAGTGGATATATGTATGGCAATTGAATCAAGATATACTTTCTTTGTCTTCTGAAGAACAATGGTTTTGACCAGTGGTGGGATTCAGCCAGTTCGCACCTCTTCCGGAGAACCGGTTGTTATCTTTCTGAGCAGTTTGGCAAATTGGTTGTTGGAAGAAATCATTAGGGCAGAGAACCGGTTGTTAAATTACTTGAATCCCACCACTGGTTTTGACTAAACTCTTTCCTGATTATCTATGCCTTGATATTTAGTACCCGCCCAATGTGTTGGCCTGCACTCTTTCAACCCTCTGTCTGCGCTAGCTGGAGATAATGGAAGTTGTAGCCCAAGTACTTGGAGGATGCCAGACAGGGAAGATGACAAAATACTCTTAGGTTTCATGTCCCTTAAACTTTTCTTCCACAACAGAATGCTCACCAGCTTCAGTGGTCTCAGCAGATATGCTCTCTGTCCAGCTACTCCATTTCCAGAAGGGACTGACATCTGCAGCACAGCGTACTTTAAACATATAGTTTGTAGCAGGCTGCAGTCCACCCAGTTGGAAGTGGAAATGGGAATCCGAATCGGACTGCGCTGTGATATTGTACTGCAAAATACAAAGAGCAAACCTGTGAAGAGGTCAAATACTATCTTTCTGTGGGATTACTTTTTTTTTCCTGAAATGTAACTACAGATGGCAGCATCTAATAAATTTTGACCTATCCCCAAAAAAGCTAAGCAGGGTCAGATCTGCTTTGGGTTTGGACTTGAGTCCATCAGAAAGTCCAGAACTGTAGGCTACACTGAAAAATCTAAACAAATCTTGAAAGGCAGCAATTGCAAGCCACTTCCTGGAGGTATATTACCTCCAAGAAACCTACAGAGAAAGATCTATGAAGCCACCAAGACTAGAATTTGATCTGAAGTAATTGTTTTCATTATTTTAATTGCTTTTTTAAAAATTCCTATCTACCCATGGTTCCCCGAAAATAAGACCTTGTCTTATATTTTTTTGAACCCCGAAATAAGTGCTTGGCCTTATTTTCAGGGAGGTCTTATTACTTTGGGGCGTATGGAGCAAGATGGGGCTCCTCTTACCATCTTAACTGATTTCCAGTTCTGCGTTTAAATATTTTCGGGGAGGGCTTATTTTCAGGGGGAAGCTTATTTTAGCGCATGTACTCAAAAGCCCAATTGGGCTTATTATCAGGGGATGTCTTATTTTCGGGGAAACAGGGTACATTTCCAATCAACTTAAACTCTAAAAAGTTTAATTTACACATTTAATCCCAATGTTTGTCTAAAGGGTTCCTCTCATTCTTTGGAACAGATCTGGGGGCCCTGCAGGCAAGATAACATTAGATTCGCCAACAATTTCTGGGCCACTAAGAGGACACCACTGGATATAACCCACTATTTGATGGCTTCCTAAAGGATGGCACTTAGCAACAGCACTTAGACTTACATACCGCTTCACAGTGCTTTACAGCCTTCTCTAAGCGGTTTACAGAGTCAGCATATTGGCTCCAACAATCTGGGTCCTCAGATAACGGATTTACTGTTTATGAGAGGATGAACTGTGCCATGACTGAGATTTAGGTTGGAGTGTGTCTAAAGCGGGGGTCAACAACCCGCGGCTCTGGAGCTGCATGTGACTCTTTCATCCCTCTGCTGTGGCTCCCTGTCGCCGGTCAGCTCCACAATTGATAGGGCTTTCGGTTAGGACAGGTATGGAAAAATGGATGCTGTGCTAGGAGGAGACTCTATGGTAGGGGAACCAGACTTCCGGTCAGCTCCAGAATTGAATGGGAGGCTTCGGGTTAGGACCTTTGTGGCTCTTTGAGTGTTTACAGTTGCCGACCCCTGGTCTAAAAGTTAGAGTTTTTGGCTGTTTTGCAATTGTAACATAGAAAACTAAAAGGGTTTTGAATTAAACAAGACACATGTAAATAACCACCCCAGACTTCTCATGCAAGGTTTATAACAGGCCGGGGAGAGTTGCTATTACTTTATATAGATATTGATGCTTCTCACCTTATTCTCACCAACATTGATCTGGCATAGAAATGATAGGCTTGCATTTATTGATTTTATCTGCCAAGATAACTGAATGAAAGTAGCATTTAGATGATCCACTGATGGTTTACCGATAATTACAGGACGAACTGGTTGAAAAGAGAAAAATGAAGGAATATGAGAATTCTAAAAAAAAAGTAAATCAATGCATTGGACCATAAAATCAGATAAATCAATCAATCAATCAATCCAAAATTGCTTTATCATTCATGGACATCCCTTCTCTGTCTTGAAACTCCAAAAGATCTTCAGGCATAAGAATGATTCCATTTACCAAGCATTATCTTTTTTTCTACTTTCTTCACTTCAGTTTATTTTGCTTTTACTTCAGAGTTGTTTTCTCTTCCCTTTCATTCCCATTAGTGAAGTGTGCCCAATTTCCCAACACAGTGGTTGCAATTCCTGAAGACAGGAAAAGAAGGACACAAAGAAAAATGGTCTCTTTTTCCTCCTGCAGAAATGAGGAAGCTAATCATAATTTCCTTGGCACGATGGGGCTCAATGGAATGTGTCAAATCTTAGCCAAACAAATCCAATCTACATTCCTTGGTGTGAATGCTTGTCACTTGAGCCTTCTGGGTGAGGAAACATCATGAAGGGTGAAAGGCAACAGGAACAAATCCTACTAAAGGAATCCCAAAAGCTGAATTAATAACAGCTTAAAGTAAATCAGGAGGAGAAAAGCAACAGGACCAGTCCAGCAAACTACAAATTCTAATTGCTTAAATCACGCAATGGCACCTTTTGGAGGTGAGGGTCACAGCAAGCAGAACCCTGCACACAATACCACAACACAAGCCTTATCCCTTTCGTACATCTTGTGTGTAAAAAAGGGGCTTTATGACATTATGTCTGTTCTGACCCACCTTTTCCCCCGTTTCCCCCCCGTTTTGAACCCCCTGTTCTCACCCCCCTTTTGTGGAAATCAACGATTCTTCCCCAACATAGTATTCTCCAGATGTGTTATGAATACAGCTGCAAAACATTAACATGTAGGTCATCAGATTAGACAAGAATGGGCTAAATGTCATGTTTCTTTGCCATGTTCTCATTTGTTCTGCTTTTCTCAACAGCAGAGAGATGATCAATCTTTATTTATCAGTAAGCAAACAACAGCAGAAGAAATAGCATATTCCTGCAATTTCAACTTCTCCAGATCTTTGTTTGTGAGATAGCCAATTCTATTAGCAAGAACCAATCCATAACATTAATTTTTATTTGACATTTTCACCCAGCTGCAGTGTGCAAAAGTATTTCATACTCTTAAGACTGTGACAATAGGACGAAATACAAAAATTAGTAAGAAAATCAACCCTTACCTGTGTGCATTACATTAAAACTAAGCTGCTCATGTTTCTGTCCAAGGCAATTTCTGGAGGTTAACCTTACATTGTATAGGAATTGGTCGTCCCTCTTGAATGAACAACTCTTTTGGAACTTTGTACTGCAATATATTTTTGTAGAAGAGCTTTCAAAAAATAGGACGGGAGGGAGAAAAGACAGTATTTATTCCATTTGCAGACCAAAATAATGCATTAAAGAAATGTCCACCTTAGCTTACAAGTTCAAGATTTATCTCTAAGCCACTATAAATTTCAATATATCTATTTTAGTACAGGCATACAATAATCTTAAGCAAAATGTCAACGGTTTCCTCCATTCAAGTTAAATATGCAAATAGCAGGTTTGTTTTAACTTTCCTACAGTCACCATTCTCTTTTATACAAGACAGATTTTGTGTCCTGGCATCAAGGTCTTCAGCATCCCCAAACATTCCTTTTTAAGATACTCCATAAATCCTGATATAACTAGTCTAAGCTCCTTCATATTATGCTTTGGATTGACTTTGACTGATTTGAGAATACTTACACATCAGACAGAATAAACTCCATTGGACAGACTTCCTCAAAGTAATCAGTTTTCTCTACACATCCAGGATTCCAAGTACATCTAATATTAATCATGTCTTCAGTTTCACAGCTCAGATGTTGGGGTTTATCAGGCTGCCCTATTAAAACAAGTTCAGATTCATGTTACTTTCTTATATATTTCATCTACACAATTATTTTCCAAACAAGTCAAGTTGTTCATCTTGTTTTCCTCTCCCCACAATTACCAGCAGAAAGATGACCCATACAAGCATTGGGAACTGAATCCCACCCCATCTTCGGCATCTTTTGTCACCTTTATTCAAGGATGTTTCCAATAACTATTGGCTGATAAAGATTATAGAGTGATATAGTTTGCTTGCCCTGCTTTATTCTGAAAGGGAAATTGGCTCACCCTAGTATTTCATTGATTTTTTAAAATAAATTTATGTTTAATATAAATTTCATCAGGAATTCAGAACAGCATTATAGTGCTTCCTCATCTTGTCTTTATCCAGAATGTCAGGCACAAGCAACCAGAGCCACTTACAAATAGCTAACATCAGCAACTATATTATCTACCACCTATGCTACAAGAATTGTACCAGACTGCTTGCCTTCCTCTGGGAATAACCAGATAAAGTTTTATGGATCTTGGGGAAAAGATTATCAGGCTTATGCCACTTGCAGCTGCACGACGACTCCGAGCTGAGTCCTCAGTTGACCCCTCCTTCTAGCCTAGCCAGCAGTTTCCCAACAAAAGCTTGGGAAATTGGTTGGTCTGAGAGACTGGCACAAAATGACCCCCTGAGCTTCTGAGATCAGCTAGAACTTGATTCTTCCTGCTCTGATTATATTATTTCCACTCAAAAAAGTCACATACTCATTCCTAACCAATGTTACATATGTCCAAGATTATCTGCAATTATCCAAGTGGGTTCACACCATGATAACTTTTGGTTATATGTTCCTTTCTTTTCTAGTCTTTTTGCCATTGGAAAAGTGAGAGAATTATTATTGATTGATGGAGAGCAAGAAGAAAGGTCTTTTGCAACAGCAACATGTGGTCAATTATTGCTGACTTCTGCAAAATGTAATAGGTTTGGCCCTTATTAGTGATGGATGGGAGAACACCTGAAAATCCTAGTGGAGTAGATTGAGAAGTAGAAAAAAACAGAAGGCAGCAGTGAGAATCCACTTCTCTATTGTTGCTAAGGAAAGGACATGAATATAATTATGAGCGTTCACTCCCAACTCAAAGAAGGAGGCTACCTAAAAGTGAGAGGAAACGAGCAGCAGATCAGAATGGCCACCCCATTCTATACATGCCTCATGGTTTTGTATACAAAAGGATCACCACTGCAGTATCCTGGTATTGATTTCCTAAATTTAAAGGTAGACAGATGCCCCATTATAGCCTGGCCTTTATTTGAAGACCAGCCCTTTGGACAAACTAGGGCTATCATTTCTTGTGATAGATGCTGCGGGAAGGAGATGAAAGGTACACAAAGTGTGGTCCTCTCAGCCCTTCCTAAAGTAGCCTCCTATCCATCCCCTGCAATGGAAGTCCACTCAGTTGCCAATCCTAAGTGTTCCTTGCTAGGGAATGGGAAGAAGCAGTATCTCTTTGCCTGGGACTCGATGCTACCTTTATCTTGGGAGATGGGCTCTCTCAGCTCTTCCTGAGCTAGATGAAATGGAAGAAAAGAGGCTTTAGCATATCTTTAGGCAACCTTTGGGTCCAAGAACCACAGAAGTAGCTGGACTGATGTGTAGTAGTGACTACACATCACTATTCAATCATCCATTCATATACACTTGAAAGTCTCCATGCATGCACTATTATTTTACATATCTGTCTTCCAACCTGCTATTGGCAGCAGAGAACTGATGATCATTAGATCATCAAACTGCTGGAAGCAACTAGATTACATTTGCTTATATAAGCAGCCACAGGAAATTAAAGAGCCTTGGTGGTGCAGCAGACTAAAGCACTGTTAAGTAACACCAGCTGCCTGCAATTACTGCAAGTTCGAATCTCACCAGGCTCAAGGTTGACTCAGCCTTCCATCCTTTCAAGGTAGGTAAAATGAGGACCTGGTTTGTGGGGGCAATAAGCTGACTTTGTATAAAAAAGAACACCGCTTAGGGGCCCCCCGAAAGCCCTACTAAGCAGGTATATACAAAAGTATGAAGGCTATTGCTTAACGCATTGTAAGCCACCCTGAGTTTCCGGAAAAAGGGCGGCATATAAATAGAACCAATCAATCAATCAATCAATCAATCAATCAATCAATCAATCAATAAATACTCCCTTTTGGCAAGCAACCCCCCCCTCAAAAAAAAAAGCAAAAATAACACCCAGTTTTTTGTGTTTTCTAGAGCTATCCATGGTCCAAGCACGCTTTACGGCATGAATTATTTCAGTATTGCAGAAAATTCAGCAAAATCATAAAGACAAATTTTAAGATTAAAATTCAAAGCGGTTCTAGTTAAAATAATCCTGTTCTCTCTCCAGCAGAGAAAAGCAATGTGGGATCCTCCTAATGTTACTAGATCGTAACTGCCATAATCTTTGATCACTGGCCATGTTGGCTGGGATTACTGTTATCTGAAGTCCAGGCCCTTTGTAACAACCCAGAATATCCATAGTGACAAGCAATAAGACTGAAAATTTTCTGCTTACTGTTGAGGTAGAGATAAGTTTGTGATGGATTTATACTGCCATTAAAACCACAAGTGAGTTGAAAGCGACGAGGGAATGAAGAGTCAGGCTTTCTAGTAAAAAATATTCGTTGCTGGTTTGTCTTGTTGTGTTCCTTGTAAAATGTATAAGTAGCTACAATTTTATTTTTCTTCGCAATGCAGCAAAATGTGATGTTGGAACCTCGCTCAAATACTTTTTCCTCAGGAAAGATGTGATTTTTTTCATTACTGAGAGCATCTGGGCCTGCACAAAAGTTACAGAGAAAAAGAAGATTGAATATTCTTCATTTAATTATTTTATCGTTCAAAGGGTTCTTTGAACATTTTTCATCAGAAAAATGAAAAACCTCCATTTGAGCAAAGTGCCATAATCTTCACTTGGAATTCTGGCAGTTGCCAGTTCCGGCAGTTGCCAGAATATCTGGAGGGCTTCAGGTTGCATAAAGCTGCCATAGAGTTAGTTGCCATTATTCGTCCTCCATATGGCCAACTGGGAGACTGAGTTGAGAGGTAGATGAACTGTTCTAGGCTGAGAATGTTCATGGCAGAAATAAGATTCAAACTGTGCTATCTTTGACTAAATGCTATTATGTCAGTGGCCCCCAACCTTTTGGGCATCAGGGACATGGAGAGAGGTTTTTCTGTAGACGGGAGGGGATGTGGTTTAATGTGATGCCTGCATCACATGGATGGGGCTTCACTTGTTTATACGGCCCAATTTCTGGCATGCGGTACACCGGTGCTGGTCCATGAACTGGGGGTTAGGGACGCCTGGTCTAGGTTATTGTAGAAACATCCATGAGGATCAGCTGAACTGCAGATACAGTAGCATGTATGCAGATTTACAACCAGGAGTTCTCCATGAGAGGAGAATTCTGATCATGTTTTTTTTCCAAGCAGAACATAAACTACACTTGATTTCTATTATCCCAGAATACTGGTAGGTGGATTCTAGTTGAATGCTATAGGGAAAAACCTGATGGTTTCCCTATGCCCAGAATAGGTGACTTATTAAATCCATTAAGTGAGGCTAATTACTCATCTTACATTTAAGCATGGACTATGGGCGAATAAATGCCTCTGAAGAAAATCTCCCAGAAGAAAATAGCTTTTGCTGGTTTTTTAAAGGACTGTTGCAGTTTATTAAAATGCTCGTTGTTCTCACGGGGCATTTCCAAACCTTCAAAAGCTGATGTTTTAGTGGGGGGAATGGGGCATAACTATCCCTGAGCCTCAAATTGCTCAATGTTACCCACGGATGTCAAACTCATGGCGTCACGTTGCCATCTCATGACGTATCACAACATTTTTTTCCCTCCGTGGGGGTGGGGGTGGCCTGCATGCAACGCATCTGGCCCATGGGCCGCCAGTTTGATAACCCTGCCCTACATACACTAATTCCCTGTCCTAATAATAAGGTAATTATTTGTGAAGTATCCCAAAGGTACTTTTTCAAGAGGTAACTGGACTTCTTTGCTTTTCTTTGAAGATGTTTTTCTTTTCATCCAAGAAGATTCTTCAGCTCTGACTGGTGGGGACTGGAAGGATGACAGCTGGTTATTTGCATTTTTTACACTACTCAGGTGACCCTGAGGACACAGATAAATCTCCAAATGGCCTCAACTCCTCTCTAAAAAAAATGCAAATGACCAACTATCTGCAAGGAATATAAATCCTTCCATTCCCCACCATCCAGTCAGAGCTGAAGAATCTTCTTGGATGAGAAGCAAAACGTCTTCGAAGAAAACCAGAAAGTTCAGTTGCCTCTTGAAAAAGCACCTTTGGGACAACCATGACCTGGATGACTGAGCATCTCCATAGACATATTTGTGAAGAGGAACAAAAAACAGGAACAGAAATTCAACATGTCCAAAAAAGGAGAAGTTAGAGACACTGCACAATGTAGTACACCTTTCTTTTTTACTGGTAATTGGAATTTACCATTTGCTGCTACCCAATCAGTCCAGTTACTCCAAATTTTAGAAGATGTCATTCTGCTCCTTATTCTGGCTTCATGAGTTGCACATTGCAAGGGTACCTCAGAGATAAAACTCCATTGGTGATGTTGCCTTGATTTATTGAGAACTGTTGTGTAATTCACCTAGAAGTACACCATAAGACAAGCTAATTAAAAAGGAACCCAAACCAATGAGACAATAGACTTTGGGTCTTTTAAACAAAGTCTGGTTACTTGCCTGGTTACCTTCCCCAAACAGAGTCAGCTTAGTCTATACAGTACATGTGAACAGAAGATACACTGGAGAACCTTGCTAGAAATTAGAAGGTAATATCCAAAATGACTGCTCCAGCATTAAAGAACAGCTAACGTCTGACCAGGATGTCTTCCTTTTTGTGTTTTCAGAATTCAGTCAAGTATGCAATTTTTTAAATGATGGTTCCCAGTTGCCATGAATTTTAGGAGTACAATTTTGTATTCCTGGTGTAAAATTTTACGTACTAGAATGCTCACTGACTTTGGCTAGGGTGGCAGATAAAACTGATAAACAAGCGAACAGCTGATGGATGAGATTAGATAGATAGATGGATAGATGAGAGATAGATAAGATAGATGATAGATCTATAGATAGATAGACAGACAGACAGACAGACAGACAGACAGACAGACAGACAGATAGATAGATAGATAAAGGCAGGCAGGCAGATACAGCAAAATTTAGAACCATTTGGGTTAGGATGCTGATTACAAAATAAGAAGCAGAGCAATGCCTTGGACTCCTTTGACACTGTTCTTGCTTGAAATATAACTGACATCTAAAATCAGTATTGGCTGTTGCAACAGAATCTCACATGCAGCTTTGTTGACAATATATATTTATATTTCACATATCTACCCAGCTCTTAATTATCTTCACTGTTTTACAATCAGCTGCAACTTCTTTCGACTCCCCAGGTATTTCCCTTAAAAGTATTAGAAGACTATATAAGTCAGCTATTACACACCTTCCTGCTTCTTTTCTTGACATACAACCATAATGGTGCCTGTATCTCATGACTTGTTGGGGCTATCATTAAACGAATGCAGCAATCATAAAATGAATGCTGCAGTTGTTAAATGAACACTGTGATTATTAAGCGAACCCAATCATGTGACATTGCGGTGTTTGATGGAATGGAGGCGGAGGGGGAAGGGGAGGGGGAGGGAAGGGACGAGACCTTAGAGGTCTTCTAGTTCAACCCCCTGCTTAGGCAGGAAATCCTATACCATTTCAGACAAATTGTTGTCCAATCTCTTCTTAAAAACTTCCAGTGTTTGAGCAACCACAACTTCTAGAGGCAAATTGTTCTACTGATTAATTGTTCCAACTGTCAGAAAATTTCTCCTTAGTTGCTTCTCTCCTTGATTAGTTTCCACCCATTGCTTCTTGTCCTGCCCTCAGGTGCTTTGGAAAATAGCTTGACTCCCTCTTCTTTGTGGCAACCCCTGAGATATTGGAACACTGCTATCATGTCTCCCCTAGTCCTTCTTTTCATTAAACTAGACATACCCAGTTCCTGCAACCGTTCTTCATATGTTTTAGCCTCCAGTCTTCTTATCATCTTTGTTGCTCTTCTCTACACTCTTTCTAGAGTCTCCACATCTTTTTTACATTGTGGCGACCAAAACTGGATGCAGTATTCCAAGTGTGGCTTTATCAAGGCAATATAAAGTGGTATTAACACTTCATGTGATCTTGATTCTCTCTCTTTGTTTATGAAGCCTAGAATTTTGGAACTTTGGAACCACATTATAACTCCCTTTTTTTCAGATACGGCATAACTTTGAATGGTCACACATATATGTGTGTGTGTGTATTATGTAAGAATAGCAAATTCTTATTTTACTTCCTGTTTCAGCTTCTGGAACTTGCTTTTTAACAAGAAAAAAAAAAGAAGAAGTGAAAACTTCTTAAAGAGCAGATAAATAATCCCCACTTTTTATATGCATGCATCTTGTTTGGATTTACCTTGAGTTTTAAAATTTATTCCCACCAAATTGGAATTGGATTCAAGAGGAAGATGATATAAATTCCTAAACCCTGTTCTCAGAATGATACTTACATTCAAAATAATTCTTTTGTCTTCTTCTCTTAAACGAATTTGGATGTTAAAAACAATTTCTATTTTGGAATTATATGCTTCAGAGTCATCACTAACATCCCATTCCAGTAGCAGTTGCTGAAGAGAATTATTTGAATAAATCCTAAGGTTTCTTGGTTCAAACACCTGATTGTCTGATGGAAAAAAGAATGGAAAATGGAAAAAATAATGAGTGATCTAAGTGTTTCTCAACCCCAGCAACTTTAAAATGTAAGAATTTCAATTCCAAGAATTACCCAGCATGACTGGTTGGGATATTTCAGGCACAAAGACCACAAATATTAAATTTGCTAAGGTTAAGAAACTCTAATCTAAAACAGATGAATCTATGAAGTAATTACATATAACATTTATACATAAATAATCTCATTTGTTTCTTTATAATATTTTCCTTAATCTGAAGGTTCAATTTCCATGTTAATTTTAATTAATATGCTCTTTAGTTAAGAGCCAAGAATTTGGGGGTGGGGGCCATGAATCTGATTCAAGTTGGATTCTGGTCTTTTTTCCCACCCACTGGCTCTGAGTGATAAAACAGGGAGAAAAGATTAAAAGCAAGACTTAACAGTATGCATTATGATGGAAGGGACCAACACAGAAAAATACCAATACTTATCATTATCTCCCAAATTATTCATTCATTCACTCACTCACTCACTCACTCACTCACTCATTCATACATTCATTCATTTTCATTCAGTCAGTCAGTCACTCATTCATTCATTTTATAAGGCCACCCATCTCAAATTGTTGATTCTGGGTAGCAAACAATCACAAAATCAATTAAAATCAAAGTGCGGTCATAATAGAAAAAGAAAATTAAGCTGACAAAATGATAATCCAGATCCACCTTTTGTTTTTACTTACTCACAGAAATTTATAGGAAAGGAGGTTGTTCTAACAGTTTTGGACATGGCATTTATATGTAGGGTGGAGGGACCTGACTTGATTTGACTGTCATCTCCTTCAGATTTAATCTAGAGCTGGCTCCCACACTATTTCTTAGAATGGGAAAAGATTCGAATATGTTTCTTTAGAGGAAGAGGAGTGAGATAAAGTAGTCATGTCACTAAAGATTCCTGCAATATTGCAGTGTAGTGAATATAGGGGATGGCCTTCAAGGACAAGAGAAAATATGCTAACAAAGCAATAATCAGATAAACAAAACTTGAGCCCAAGCCAAGAAATTGGGTTGCACGAACACCTCAGATAGCGCTCCTTCCCCAATTCTCATGAAAATAAAAGAGAGGGGAAAGGAAGCATATTGTAAAATTCAGCTATAATAAAAGTACTGGTCTCCAGGGTGCCTGTTTGTTTGTCTGGTACCTTATAAGGTTCACATGGAGCCACTCTGGCTTTGACAGACCAAGCAAGTTCACAAGAACTTGTCCTGCACCCTGAAAAGTTATCTAGACTCAAAGTTCAGCCACTGAACCATAGCAGATGTGTTTCATGGAGATCCAGTATCAGAGAACTGACTTTCACAGGTCTGGGAAGCTAACCAAAAAACATGTGGAGGCCAGCATGAGAACAAACTTTGCAGCTACTCTTTGATGAGTCTCATTTCTCCACTGGGTGAAGGCCCTGCATGGCTTATGTATTATGTTCACTCCAGTGGTGAAATCCAAATTTATTTACTATGGGCGTGGTTTGGTGTGGCTTGGTGTGCATGGCAGGGGAAGGATGCTGCAAAATCTCCATTCCCTCCCCACTCCAAGGGAAGGATATTGCAAAACTGCCATTCCCACTCCACTCCAGGGGAAGGATATTGCAAAATCTCCATTCCCACCCCACTCTGGGGCCAGCCAGAGGTGGTATTTGCCGGTTCTCCGAACTACTCAAAATTTCCGCTACCGGTTCTGCAGAACCTGTCAGAACCTGCTGGATTTCACCCCTGGTTCACTCCCATTGTTGAAAACAACTTTTTAAAAACTCATCCTTGCCTGTGAATATCTTGCTTTACTCTATTGAGACTTTTGATTTAATTTCATCTTGTCTCCTGCTTTTCCTTTGGATAGGCCACCCAAGCAATTGCTTACTGGTTTTGATCTGTTGCCTAGTCAATAGTTTATTGGATGAATACTCTATTAAGATAAGATAATCTTTATTGTTATTTTTTTACTGTCGGCACACTGGCACACATTAAAAATGAAATTGTGTTGTCTGCTCTAAAAAGTGTACGCATACATAACACACATACAGACATACTATATACATATATGGATATACCAACATCCTTACATATAAATATTAATCACTGTCCATTTTGAATACATAGCAGAAAGAGGAAGCTTGAACATTCACAAGGTTGATACTATATGCAACAGAACTGTGACTGAATCTGGATGTTCTGCTTCCGATACCACAAAGCTTCCTCCCGGAAGGTAACAAGGTAACAGGTCATGAAGAGGATGTGTAATGTCCCAGACAATGCCGCGGACCCTGCTCAAACATCACTTACATGCTATGTCCTGGATAGAAGGGAGTGAACTGCCAATAATATTTTCTGCTGTCCTCACCACTCTTTATACCGCCTTCCTGTCTGAAGTAGTAATGTTTCCAAACCAGACAGTAATGCAATATGGCAGGATGAGTGTTAAGGATATTCTTGGCTCATAACCGATGTTATGGGCTATTGAGCAGAGTACCCCTTGAGTATGCACATGAAAGCGGCTGTGAGTGAATAACCACAGTTAATATACTGACACACTGAGTTGTGGTAGTCTTTTACTTTTAGAAAAAAGTAAAGCAAAGTCCAATAACAATCCAAGTCATACACAGATAAGGCAATAGTTAAAATATCAATTCAGGGATATTCCAAGTACAAAGTCTTCTTACCAGTTGTTGTCATTACACAATAAAACAATTCTTCTTGAGTTTCAAACAGGAACAAGTTCAGTATTAAAACATTCAATAAATAGTAGAAAGCAACAAGTAGCAATGATCAAACAGTGATCATGCAGAGAGAACAGGTAGAGAGTAACAGCAAATAAGCAGATAAAATGGTTTAGTGTTCACAAGCCATGATTCAGGCTTCCCCTTAAGTACATTGGCTACAGAGCTTAGCCAATTAGAATACAGGATGATGCAATACAGTCTTAAAGCAATATAATACCTTCTGACAAACATGTATTGATAGTTTATATATTGCCTGACCAACTAGTTAGGCAATAGCCATTTCCTAACAATGCGCTTGATTGTCCCTCTATAGAAAGTGGTAAGGACAGGGGAAGGAAGATGTACTGTTCTCATGCGATGCAGAAAATGCAGGCACTGCTGCACTCACCTCACCTCTCACTGTTGAGTGACCAAGCTAGCTTACTTGTTAGCTGCACATCCAATGTGGTGCTGCTAACCATCTCCACGGGTGAATCAAAGATATTGTGAAAGGACTTTTTCAAAGATCGTTTTACTCCATCTAGCTGTAATAGAACTTAAGCTTGTTCATCTCCGGTCAGTGGCATATTGATATCTCGTTGTTTACTCCCTGGTAGTCAGCTATGCTTCTAACCCAGCCGAGATTTGAGGGGTGTGTGTGATTCTCTTCTCCCATCCCCAGCTCAATCTAAAATGTACCCAGCAATCATCATGTGCACATCATCAATCTCTAAGTTAATTATAGGATCAATTAGGACTTCTTTAAGTGAGGAATCACCCTAAATTGTCTTGCACTGGGAATACTTTGTCATTTGCTGCAAAGCTGCTTAAGTTGAGCCTCTCCTTTAAACTCAGTTCTTTTACAATTCAGGAATTTAATCGTTCCATTCAAAACATTGCTGTCTATACCTTGATTCTGAAGCAGACCAAGACATAACGGTATGAAGAGAAGTACGGGGAATATCCAACGGTCCATCTGTTAACCCTGAAAGATACAAGCAATAACAGAATAAGAGTTCCTTTTAATCAATCGTGTCGTCCAGTTCTTCAGCAATCTCATGCTAATTTTCATGCAACTTGAAATAAACATGTATCAACACAGTTGCTGGATTTTATTCATTGGGATGGGCCAGTCCTCATATACGGCTTCCTAACGTATTGGGATACGATGCTTTATATCCCAATCAGCATTACTGAAAAGTACAGAAATTGTAGCCAACTTATCTTGAAGGAATCAAATTGGGAAAGATTTCTTTAGTATTTTTTGAATTTGCCACTTTAAGATGTGTGGACTGTAGCTGCCAGAATTCCCCAGCATCCACCACATTCATGGTTCTTGAACATTTGGGGGGCACAATCCATCGAAATCCATGGGACTGTGAAAATATTTTTTTGCTGGAGTGATTGTGGATAGCTCCCCCTGCCCCACGGACAATTAAAAAAAAAAATTCCTTTAACATATTCAAACTAACATGAACTTTTTAGTCATTATATTTAACATAAAATAGGAAAGGTCCCCAACTGGCTGCTTAAGACTCCAGATTTGGTGCATTATAGTCCAACTCACTGGATTCATGAAACATCATCTGGTGTTAAAACAAATATGTACTGTTGAGTAAGAGGAAAAGATGCAAATAACTAACCTCAGAAGGGAAGGAAATGCAGCAAGTAAATTGAAAGCCACATTAGCAGCAGTAATGATAATGGTTTATATAAAAGTTGTTGATAAGACAAACATCTTAACTTTTGCATAAGCATAATCTGATGTAAAATAAAATATCTACAATTTACAAGAGGGAACCACGATCTTCCTTCCTTCCTTAATGAAGAGAACGGCAACCAAAGTTGCAAATGAACTGTTACTGGCAGGGGTCCTAAGTATAAATTATCTCCTCTTAAGATGGCCATCTATATTGCTTCATTTATTTCAAACCTGATAAACCAGCCCTTCTCTCATTTTGCGCTGCACAAAATCCTGCCCTTGAGGGACCAATGTGCAATCTGTAGACTCTTCCATGCTTCAGAAATCTGTCAATCTTTTGGGTATCACTACATCAATGTTTGTCAACCTCAGCAACTTGAAAGTGTGTGGATTTCAACACCCAGAAATGCGGGGAATTGAAGTCCATAGCTCTTCAAGTTGTTAAAGTTGAGAAACACTACACTAGACTGCTGAAACTAAGGATTCCCAGTGCTCATCCCCTCATCCCCCACTCCGGGGTGGGGGGGAAGTACCACACTCAGTGGTGATGTGATCTCACCAAAGGGATAGGTCCCTTTTGCAAGTGTGATGGTTGGTAGACACACCACTCTATTCCAACCTTTACAAAATAACACAGGGGTTAATCTCCTCAATTCAGTAGATGCTACATCACAAGAGTTTTTGGGGCAGCCTAAAAGAAAATTCAATCCCATATTACTTATTCAGAAAAAAAGCTCAGCTATTAGCAGTACTTGTTAAAAACAGATTAAGACTCTTTAATCCAAAGAATATCACCTGGATATTGAATAAAGTGAATGAATTCAGAAACACGTACAAAACAAATGAGAAGATTCTGGACTCACACACTAAATTTCTAACTAAGTTTGCCTGCTTTCGCAACAGCATGTTTTGCAAGCCCAGCTAACAATGGTTTATTCAATAAGCCATTGTTAATTGTGTGAACCTAGTCTGAGACAACAGGGGACTGTTGAGACATAGCTGCAATGGAGTAAACTTAAAATGTAGAGACATGCCCTTGACCTAATGGAGAAGGAAATGGGAAAATTACAAGAGAAGGCAGTACAAATATTTACCAGTTCCAAAAATATTATGTGATTTGAAATGACGAAGTTCTCAGCATGGGGTTGACAAGTTGTCCTTCTGTGATTCTGGTTCACGGAGCTCTTGGACCCTCGAACCTTCCAAAGCTTTTATTGGAAAAGAAAAACCCAAATAAGAAAAAAAGCCCAGTGACACTGTACACTGCTTAGTGGCCCTGCGTAGATCAATAATAAATTTAAGAAACATGAATGCAGGGAAGGGAAAGCAGAAAAAGAATGTGGGGTAGAAGCAAGGTTAACTGCAGATAGGAGACTGAAGAAAGACAAATGCATTTTCCCCCCACGAAGAACCAGTTTGAAATCTTTATCTGAGAACATGATTTAACAATAAAAATTGAATTCATTACAATGGGAGGCAAGCTATGCTTTAGAGCTGCAGGTGGTTTATTGCTGCCCCAACTGTTTATTATGTTGTTATTTAAAAAGTTAAATGGTAGTCAAGATGGTGCATTTTGCAATATCTCTGCTTTCTCATCTAAGAGCTTATGAGATTTTGCACTGTAATTTTTAAAAAGTGGTTACTTTAAAAGGATTTTTCAATCCTACTTATCAACTTTCAAGTCTTTACTTCTATAGTCTGTGGTGCACACAGAGCACTCCATAAAACACTATATTGGAAGGCCAGGTGACTCCTTTAAATCTTGGACAAAAATTGGTTTATTTCATACCCATTAATTCTGCTGTTGCTTTATTATTTAAACCTTTTATTTCTCCCTATTTCTTTTTTCCAGCAGGGCTCCAGGCTGACAGATGCAGAATCTATGCTGAATAGCCTGATCAAAGATTCAGGAATTCACCCGTTCTGCATGCCAATAGAGCTGTTGCTGGTTATGAACGAATATCATTTCTTGACTTCATTTGGACTTAGTTTATTTTCATTGCTCACTTAGTCAGCCTTCCAGGAAAAGAAAGAAAAAAAGATATAAGGAATCATACGTGCCTCACCACAACACTCTTGAGTTTCACATTAAAAGAACTCTTGAACCTGGTTATTTAAATTTGTTGCTTAAAGTTCAAATTTTGGTTCTTCTGCTGAATATAGTCTGGTTTGGTGGTAGCTGATGTAATGGAGAATTCAGAATTTCCTAATCTGGATATCTTCCTCCACTCTTTATTGTTGTCCTGCCAGGAATCAGAAAGGAAAGTTTGGGAATACAGTGCCTAAGATTTCAAGCCAGACTGAGTTGCCTGAGAATTAAGAGAGCTGCGATATCACAGGGGACTTCTGATCAGGGAAGGCTTGATTAGAAGGCTGAATAAGATCGGTGTGAATTGACTGACGTTCCGCTGAGCCCACCACATGAATCTCATCTGGTGTGGAAAGCCACCACCATCCCTCCTAGAAGAATGAAATATTTTGAGGAATATTTTAAAAAGGCAGGATAAAATATTTTCCCTAAAAGAGAAATTAAAAAAATCTTAAGGGAGACAGAAACTCAGAGCCCCAGCCCCCTGCCCCCAAACAGATACTGAGCTGGGGCAGCTTTTAGAAATGCAGATTTGGTAATCCATTACTCCTTGCAGCAAAGTCTGAACAAAGGCAGATTAGCCCTTACCCAAGAGCCAACACAGGGCAAAGCCATAAAGCCATAATATGAATTATTGTATCACTCTCCAAACTGCAACCAAACTTAGCTCAGACACACACCTAGGATTTGTATTTTGCCTATAGGGCCAGCTTTGACCCCTACATAACCCCTACATGGCTCCATGTAGGGGTTATGAGTTTGACAACAGCCAATAGAATACATGTTCTTGCACAGGAACAGGAGGCTCAAGTGCAAAACCCAATAGAAGGTATAAAAACCCCTTACTCTCAACTCCATGTGGTCAGCTAAATGGACCCACTTTCCAATCAGCCTCCAGCCTCCGTTTTGTCTCCAGTGCCTTTCTCCCGGCTTGGAACTGAACCAGATGGATATTTCTTCCAACACAGGTTAGTAGTGATGGTAGGAATGAACATCTTTTTCATTCTTATCTTCACTGCTAACCTGATGAGATTCATGTAGTGAGTGCATAGGAATGTCAGTCAATTCACACTGATCTGAAAAAGACTTTTTAAAACACTTCAGTTTTTTGAAATAAGGAGCGGACCCTGCCATAGTGTGGGAATAATGCTAGGAAAAAGAAGAGTCTTTCAAAATAAGGCTGGCCATTATCTCTTTGCTGGCCGTGGTGAATTAAGAGCAGGGGGACCCAGCACATCACAGCCGTGGTAATGTGTTGAGTAATTTGAGGCAATGGCTCCCTCTTCGTCCAATTTACCTCACAAGGCAGGGCTTGTAAGGAAGAAATAAAGGAGAATCTCCACATAAACCATACTGAGTCCTGAAGAAAAGCAAGATATAAATCTAAGTAACAACAATAATTGAATTCCTGGAATACTACTAGACGGCACTGCCAAACTTTACTTTTCATGGTTTTGCGGGTGAAAAATTACCAAATAGATTTGTGTGTGTGTTTAAGATTTTTCTTGCATTTTATTATTTTAATCTTTGGAGGCCATAGATGAAAAGATAAATCTAGAACAAGCATTTCTCTGTTTCAACTCCCACATCCAGTAATTTTTATTTCTACCAACGACAAAAACATTGTGGTTTCCCAATATTACACAATTTCTCTGTCTATTATGACGAACACACAATCATCTAGACACATTCGAAGCGAACTGGGATCCAGAAATGAGGCTAAGAAATTTGAGGAGTCAAATTTCACACACACAGTCCATCTGTCTATACAACATTCAATGACTACACTACCTGTGAATCAGCAGACATGAATAAGCTCATCACTAAAATATTAGAATGTATTCAAATGCCACATTGTCCACCTACAGAGAGAAGCTAACTAAAGCAGGATTCTTCATTACTGATCTGCAACACACTCACCATTCACCAGTGTACTACTGCATGTCCTTTTCTAATCTCTATGTAAAAAATCAAACCATGAATCAAGGGTTATGCCAAAATAAAACTGCTTTAAAACATAACGTTTCTATTTAAGATTCAGCTGCCTTATATATACTGTGCTTTATATATAAGAAAATAAATTCAAATAATAACACAAATATTAAAATTTACAAGTTTATTCATTTCTTGACTATTTTAATTAAAGAAAATAATTTATCTAAATTATATTTCTATTTGGAAACAGCTTCTGGACTTTTTCTACTTCAAACTGAGAAAATGAAACTTTGACTTTAGCCTTTGATGACTAGAATGGTTTTGGAATTATAGAAAAGGCTTGAAATGTGAAATGTAAAGCTAAAGGTTGAGGTTGTATTATTTTTATAACCTGCATCAAAGGAAAATAGAAGTCAATTCTTCTCTCTTTGCTATTTTCTTTCTTTTTCTTGTGTTTCTATCTTTTGTTTCTTCTATCTTTTTGTCTTATAATGAAACTTAAGGAACTAAAGATGCATAAAGTGCATGTATTGGTTTCTTAAACAATGAGTCTGTAGGATCAAAACTACTGATTCTGGTTGAAGGAAAACAGGGAAGTCCTCAACTTACAAGTATTCATTTAGTGGCTGTTCCAAGTTACAACAGCACTGAAATAGATGATTTAGAGCCAATAATAATTGTTACAAGGACGTGCTGCTAGCGCAACACCCAACCCTCCTCCTTTCTGACGTGGTCTATGAATCGGCAATGGGGGAGTGGTGTTGATGCCAAATGACATGACGAAGGACATTCCTGGAATATTTAAAGAGACTAAATATCACATGAAAAGACGTTGAACTACTTGGCCAAGATTGAAAATGCTGGAAATGATCTCTTGCTGCCCAATAAGCTACAAAGCATGAGAGGATCTAATGCATGGGTGTCAAACTCACGGTGTCATGTTGCTGTCATGTGACGTACCGTGCAGGGGTGGGTTCTACTGGTTCGCAATGGGATCGCGTGCACGCACTCGCTTAACTCACGTGCATGGTTTCTGCACGTGCGCAGATCACTGATGATGACATCCGGGGCAGTGGGTGGGGCCTCCTGCCGGTTTTGCTACCGGTTCTTGCGAACCAGTCCAAACCAATTGCGAACTGGTACTATGACGTTTTACCGCGGAGCTGGGGTGGCTGTGGCCTGCGCATGATGCATCCAGCCTGCAGGCCACCTGTTTGACACCCCTGATCTAATGTTAATGCTAAAAAATGCAGCATCCTGAGGTCATGTTTATGCATTTATGCAACCTTCCCAGCTAGCTTCTCGCAAACAAAGTCAATAGGCAGAGCTGGGTTTGCATAAAGAAAGCATGATTCATTTAACAGCTGCAGTGATTCGCTTAACAACTGTGGATTAAAAAAAAGGTTGTAAAATGGACTGCCATCCATTTAACAACCGCCTTGCATAAACAATGGAAATTGGCGTCTCAGTTGCAGTTGTAACTACCTGCATTGAAATGGTTCCCTAGCATTTTCTTCCCCTCTAAGTCCACTTCTCCAAATAGGTCACCGGCTTCTTTGGCAATGTTTAGCTAAACATCTCTACCAGCCTGAGAAGGTTGAATAGCAGCTGTGGGAAAGGTCAGCAGGCTGGAAAAATTACAAATCCCCCTTGCCAAGGGGAGAAACGGGTTCAGGAAAAGATTCAAAATGTAAACAGCGGCCCAGCTGACACCCATTTCTTCCCCCTTCAAAAATACAGGCAAAAACAACAACAGAAATTTGGCAGCTGGAACAAATTTGTAAGAAAAAAAAATCAAATAGCAGCATACATTTCCCTGTCATTTGCATATGTAAAAGTTCTTGCAAATATCCCTCTATTTCAGTGTTTCTTCACCTCAGCAACTTTAAGGCAGGTGGACTTTGCATGCTGCCTGGGGAATTCTGGAAGCTGAAGTCCACCAAACATAATTCTTCACATTCTGGGAGTCGTAGTCCACCCAGCTTAAAGTTTCTGGAGTCGAAAAACCCTGTGTACATGATGGATCATTGTCTTTCTCATAAACTGGTAGCATAGGAGGGAAAAAAAGGTACAGAGTTAAGAAAGAGGAAGTTTGAACAAATGGGTTGGCAAGACGCCAAAGACAGAAAATACCGTAAATTATACAGGGAGGGAAATGTGACTGTACTAATTATAGTTCTCATATTTGGGAGGTGGTAAAGTAAAACTTTCCCCTATTCGGAAAACAGTATCTAAGAAACTGGCTTTATCATAGTTTAAACTAACTGGAAATAGATCGAGGCCAAGATAGGTTTTGAGGAATGGCCTACAGTAGGTCGCATTCAGGGCTATGCTGAGGGGACAAAATGTCACCATAATCATGTAGTGACTTCCCTGCTTTATTTTACATCCATGTAAACTTGCATCAACCCAACTTTTTGCACTCTTTCCTTATGGACTCCTAGACGCACTTTGTAAATATTATGTATAATAAAACAAGGGCTGTATAATAGCAATGGAAATATAGTTTTGCTACTAATGGAAATCCCCACCCCCAAAAATCAGCTTTTGGGGAATAAAATGCAAGCCCAAATTAACATATTTTCAGCTTATATAGAACAGAGGCACAGAACTCATAGATATACCCAGACTTGGCTCATGTATAGTGCTAAGCCAAAATTATTTTTTATTGTGGCTTGCCAAAACCAGCCTTTGAGGCTTGGATTACAAATAATGCTAGTATTATTAGCAAATTGCATCTAAGTCTAATAGGATCATGCAAACCCTGCAATTTAGCATGGCCTTGTCCATTGTAGCTTGTGGAATACACAACTAGATTCTTTTTAGGCTGGGGAGGGCTGCATATAGACGGCAGCTGGCTTGCTAGGTTTGCAGGAAAAGAAGTCAGGACTAAGACCTGGATAAAACCAGAAAAGGTTTCATTTAGTTTTACTCTAATTTTAATGAATTAATGCAATTATTTATTTACCAAATAATTAATTATTTACCAAAGAGCCTTGGTGGCGCAGCAGACTAAAGTGCTGTTAAGTAGCACCAGCTGCCTGCAATTACTGCAAGTTCAAATCTCACTAGGCTCAAGGTTGACTCAGCCTTCCATCCTTTTGAGGTAGGTAAAATGAGGACCCGGATTGTGGGGGCAATAAGATGACTTTGTATAAAAAAGAACACCGCTTAGGGGAGGGCCGAAAGCCCTACCAAGCAGGTATATACAGAAGTATG